TGTGTCTGTGTCTGTGTCTGTGTCTGTGTGTCTGTGTCTGTGTGTCTGTGTGTCTGTGTGTCTGTGTGTCTGTGTCTGTGTGTGTGTCTGTGTGTGTGTGTGTGTGTGTGTAATTACACATTCCTAAAATATTTCCCTACAAGTTTTAAATTAAACACCAATATATGTTCCATGTGGTATCCCCCTTATAGAATCCCTAGCCCTTATCTCTAATTTTTTTGGCTTTATTATTTATTTTAATTTTAACCAACTTTCTCTTTTCTAAATTTCCCTGGTCTTCCTTCTTTCCTTCTAACATTTCACCCATCTTCTCTCCCCACTTTCCTGTTCTCTTTTTTGAAGTTTCTTCTTGTATAATTTCTTCTTCTTTTGTTTAATCGTGGGAGCATTTTATCTTTTATTTATTAAGTCTGTCATCAACATCATAGTTTTAATTCTTTTAGTGTCTTTTGGCAATGTCTCTTGTTCTCCGTGTCTGTCTGAGCCTCTTCTTCCTTTAACTCCACCTCACTGGAATTTCTTTGTTCTTCAACCATCGCCATTATTTTCTTTTCCAATATTTCCAATAATTCCCTTCTTTCTTTCAACATTCCTTTTACCATTTGTAATTCCAATTTAAAGTATTTGCTTATTTCTTCCATTTTTATAATAAATTATTAATATTCAAAGTCTTTTATTGCAATTCTTGCCAAAAGTCTTCTTTTATCTTTATTTCTTTTGTTAATCCTCCTGTCTCTTTGTCACAATCAACACCCAACAGTCCCAGGACTTTGCATTTGTAAATCCTCTTGGTAGAATTTCTCCCCCTTTTTTCAAAATTTCTGGGGTTCTTATTATTTTATTTGTCTTTTATTTCATAACAGAAGTCCAGTAAATTTCCCTGTAATTTTGTAGGAAAAAAAAGTCTTTGACCATTAGTTGGTGCTCTGTATCACTTTCCACTTTTTAAGTTCTTTTCTTTTCTCTTTTAATTATATTAAACATTAATTTCCAATTATTTCCACAATTAATTTTCTTAATATTAACCAATTCCAGGCAAGTCCAGCATTTATTCCAATGCCTAATTAATGCCAATTTATATTATTCAAAGTTTAGTCTCTAATTTCATTGTAGCTTTTTATAAACCAATTTTGTTTACCTTGTATTTTCCTCTTTTTTTCTGTTTGCCACTATCTTACTCTTATGCAAGGGCACTTTCTTCCTACTTCTCGGAGTTGTTAAGAAAAAAATCAAGTTCTTTTATCTGGTTGCACATCGCTTTACCACTTCACTGCTCCAGCGCAAAACTTAGATTCTGGCAGCTTTCTGTCTTCAGGGCAGCCATTTTTGACTGCCGTTTCTCCCTGTTTTCCAGGGCAGTAATATCTAGCCAGGGAGAGGAGATGCGGCTCCCCTCGACCCAGCTGGTGGTCTCCCCCTCTTCACCCACCTCTCTGAGGTGGGTCAGGATGACACCAGTCCTGTAGGGACCCTTCCGACAAGAGAAACACGGACCCTAGCTGCGCACGATCACGGTCTCTGACGGTTGTCAACAGAAGCACCACCAGAAGTCTGGATTTCCATTCTTATATTGATTCTCATATAAAGATTCAGGTTTTTTTTTCCAAATTCACAATTACATGGATATCTGGTTGTAACACTCTTAAATGATTATGCATTTAGTCTGCAATCTCCATTTTAAATGTCTATGGGGATTCTCAGTCATAAAGGCCAATTTTTATTTAGATGTTTTTCAGTGAGATATATGAATTATGTATATGTAAACATAAGTACATATAATAAATACAGACTTTCAAACATAGGGAGAAAGAGAATTTGTCATGAAACATTTTTATTATGTTAAGGAGACTATAACAAATCACATGATTGAGAGTTCCCTTCAATCATTTATCAATAATCCAAAATTAATAATGTGTTCCACTGTACACATTTATTTCATTGCCAAAGAATTTGTATTAATAAATTATAGTGTTGCTTAATGAATTGCGTGAATGTGTTGATCCTGATTAGCAGCCATGTATGTAGATGAAATAAAAATTAAACAGATAATTATCAAAGAGAGGGTAGGATTAATGAAAGACAGGAATAAAAATGGATATTTTAAAATATATTCATGATCTGCCAAAAAAGTCCAGCTTTGTGTGAAATCTATGTTCATTTACTTAAATAATGGCATGGGCCAATATTTAAGTAATATTCTCAAAAATGTGCTTTAATTTACCACATATTTTAGCATAATAATTTTGGAGTGAACCTTTAAAAAAAAAAAAGTTTAAACGAGATTCCTCAGCCATGTTCAACAATTTCAGAAATCCTCTCTACTCTGATTTTTTTTTTTTTTTTGACCAATGAATAACTATTAATCAAATTTTGTTTGGAACTTTGCATCTTTTGATTTTTGATTGCAAAAGTCTTACCTTCCAGTGTTTGCTTTGCTTTGTTGCATATTATCCTGAGTATTCTTACTATTAGATTACTTGGGCAAGTTTGAATTTATAAGAGAAAATAGAATGCGTTATGTTAGTGTTTTAATAACAATCATAGAATGGTTGCAAATTATTTTACAGAAATAAAAAACAAATTCTGGGTAATATACCTACTATACATGGTGTAGTGTATATTTAAGAGAAATCTTGCTCAGAAGCATTCAGTATTTGAACTTGAAAATTAACATTAGAAATAATACTAATACCATATACTAAAATACAGAGGTTTGGCTAAATTGAATATCGACAGACAGAAATTATAATCTACATATCAACCAGTGGGAATAAGGGTATTCTGTTACTGTTTATGTACTTAAAACACAGCAAGGCTTCGACCATTGTCCTAGACCATAAAAATATCAAATATACCTTTCTTCTCCTTGCAGTTTTTGCTTTGTGGAGTATGTGGAATATTTTGTGCCAAAAAAAAGTCAGGACTTATTGTAAGTGTTTTACTAAACTGTTCATAAGTATTCATAAGTGAAATGTAAACTCTCTCTCTCTCTCTCTCTCTCCTCTGTCTCTGTGTTATAAAATCTAACTTTTTGAGTCTGATGGCAGAAATAAAGAAATGAATGGCAGAAAAACACACACACACACACACACATTTATATATACATATATCTTAGATATATAAGAAGATATATATATATATAAAACAAAGTACTCAGTCTGTACAGTTCTTGACATCGTTCCAGTTTTGGATTGATAGCAGATACTGGACTGAGTCATTCAGTGTTTCTGAACTATGAGATAAACCTATACATTTTTTAGGGGCTAAGACAGTCTTATTGAAGCTGTGGAATTTCCCAAGTAAGTAAAACTGCTTACAGGTAGTCCTCTAATTACAATAGAAATTGAGCATGGATTTATTTTAAGTTAAAGTTGTTAATTTATTTTAAGTTATCTTAAGTTAAATGGGTCACCATGTGATTACAGCTGATTTTTATGGCCTTTTTTTTGTAGTGGCCATTAAGTAAATGTGGTAGTCATTCAATGAACATGGTGATCATTAAGTGAGGCTGTTTTCCCCAATGGTGTTTTTTGGAAAACATTAAAAAAAAGCCAAAAATCATAGTCATATGACTGTGGAATGCTGCAAATAACATAAATGAGCGCCAATTGCCAAGAGCTCAAAATGCAATCAAATGATTGCAGTCACATTAGAATTTTAAAACGGATCGTAAATAGCTCTGTGGAGGCCCATCATAACTTCAAGTGGTCACTAAAGCAAACTGGTCATTAAGCAAGGATTGCCTGTATATTAGATACTCATGGCAACTAGATAGTAGTTGAAATAGGACATAACACATATGAAAAAGAAATGCAATAATTCAATAATAATGTTGATTGAGGGAGAGGTTCAAAAGATGATTTGTACCCTCATGTACCCTCATGTATCCTTATAGTTTCCACTGCTGCTCATAAAACAGCAGCTATTTCAACAGGCCTAAGTTAGAGATTTTAGCAAGCATCTAATAGTGGTAGATTAATCAGATTCTCTGATTAATTCATTTTTAATCATTACAGTTCCATATGCTCCTTATACAATTTAAGCAATCATTGGAATACATAACAAGACAAGACACTGGAACTGGTAGAAGAAGCTAGATTTTTTTTAAAAAAAATATGCCCCATTTTCACTTTTCTTATCTTCTTCATTTTCAGGTAGTTCAACATAGAAAATCTTTTCAAATGTACTTGGTTTTGGTTGCTTTGGTGTGGTGTAATGTACTCCAAATTGCTGTTTGGTTAACTAGTCCCATATATTATTTGCCTGAGACTTATTGATACTGAACAGCACAGTTCTAAGCATAGGATATGTTTCACCAGAAAAACCATCATTTAACTATTGAAAGCTCTAATGATGACAATTCTTGTCTACCAATAAATCATTGAATGAAAATGGGAAAATGGGAAACAATACTATAATGGGAAGGAGAAGCTTTCATCAGTTCATATTTTGTAGGTCAGCATTAAAACAGTGACACTCAATTTTAATTATCTGAAACAAAAGAAATATAGTAAACAGAGGTAGAGTAGTCAATGAAAGGTTTGCAGCTGCTACTCTCATTGTTCATATGTATTTTTATCAACACGGTTGATGTGCTGGTTAAGTTCAAATGAATAGATAACTTGGTTCCTTTCTCCATCTTATCATCTCACAGTTATGTGAATTTTTGTTTCCTATCAGATGATACTTTTCTCTGCTTGCTGTATCTGTGGGCTAATTGGAGGAATATTAAACTTCCAGTTTCTTCGAGCTCTAACAAAGAAATCCTCAGCTCTCTATCCACTGCACCTTACCTCCATGTCTCTAGCATGCATAGGAATTGCTGGTTGTACTCTTTCTTCATGGCTAACTTGCCGACTAGCCAGCTATGAACAAAGAAGAATGTTTTCAGAAAGAGAACATTCATTACATCACTCTCACGAAATGGCTGAAAAAGTAAGTTCACATGCTTTTTGATTTGTTATGCTGTTTTTTAAAACATTTTTTCTAATATACGTATGCAGTTAATATACAGTCAATAGAAGAAAATTCTCGGATCAATTTGTAAGTCACTGGAAAGTGATGCACAACTATATAGTATCAACTATATTATAATTTAATAAGTTACGATTAGATATTCCAGCTTTTCCAGTTTTCTCATTTGAATAAAATGCATCCACTAACTACATGGCTCTATTGTGTAACTATAATGCTTTGCACTAAATATAGAGCTCCTTGGCCTAAATAAGCTAATGGCTGCGTAATTGTATATCTGTTCCACTTCCTGCATGAAAATATATTTTAGTCGGTAGAGCTGGGGCTTACCAAAGATTAAGTTCACGTGTAGAAGGACAAGCAACACAATCTGCAGCTACATACAATGAACATGTCATTGGATTGTACCACTTTAGATTGCTGATGGGAGAGCAAATGATTATATCTCTCCTGGGCAGGATTGGACAATCTATCTTTATTATAGCTTTAGTATAGGAAAAAGAGCTATTTTGGAAAAAAAAATTCCAAGTCTTCAGATACCTATTTTTCTCATGTTTTTATTAGAAACTTGTGTATGTATGAGACCTGAAACATTCAGCTTACTAAATACCTACATTTTGCTGCTGAATCTCAGAAAAATTGTCTGAAGGATGTCTGAAGTTGCCTGCAGATTATGTGCTGCTCATCCTTGCCCGACTGAGGAAAGATTTTAACCAAGTCTTTTTTTTCTTGGCATGTTAATTTGGAAGCTGGAAAGTATTGTGTTGAACAGGAAGTACAACGTTGTCTAACACTGCTATGCACCAAAACATATGCAAATGATTGTGCTTTATTTATAATTTGTATTAGAGATTAAGGGGTATTGAAATAATCGAACTGCCCAGCTGCCCAGTGATACCCCCAACACCAGAATTACCTCCAAGGTATGCTGAATTCTAGGGAATTATGATGAATTAGAAATGTTGCTTTTAAATCAATTTTACGTTGTGCTTGTTAAGAAAATTCTTAATTTGATAATTATCCCCAGAAATCTTCCTATTACAGGAAAGACTTTATTAAAATCTATGTGGTATAATGCTAGAGTTGGACACTTGTCACTCAATATATTGAGTTTACAGATAACTTGTTTACACATATGCAAACACACACATATACTGTATACTCTTTCTCTCTATATATTACTTTTCTAATCAACCTGTTTATCTTAGCTTTGAATGCTTAATTACTATAAAATTTTATAAACAGCAAAAATTCTTAAATGAGTGGTGGCCAGTGGTCAGTAATAATAATGATTTGGGTGTAAATATACATAGTTAAATATAAGTAAGTAATCAAGGAAAAATAATAGGGCTTGATTACTAGTAGAAAAAAGTTACAAAACTACCATTATGAGATGTTGTTTGTTTATATAATTATTATACTTCTTCAGTTATCCCATTTTGCACTTAAGCTATATAACTCTGTACCTATTATTTGACTGGCTTAAGGTTACCCAGCTTATTTATTTATTTGCATACACACATACAGAGGCAGATTTTTTTTTTTAGAAAATATATCTGTTTTTTATTAAAATCATAAAATGGAAGACGAAACAGCCTTGAAGAACAGGCGGAAGAGCCACTGCCAAGTTGCAAAGGTAGAGAAACTGGGGTTATTTTATTTTATGGGTTATTGCATTATCTCCATCCATTGCTTCAAAGCTAAAGAATGTGAATTTATGCTTCTCACTCTATTTCCCAGCAGACAGGTGTCTACATCACCACACCCTCGCCTCAATCAACATTATCTGGCACCTTATCTGGAAATCCCAGCTGAGTCCAAGGTATGGCTATTGGAAAATGTCATCATCTTTTTTGTCAATGAACATGTGGTCCATTTCCTTAAGTTGAAATAAAGGTGAGACAGGATAAATATACAGGAAAAAGTGATTTATGGTAACCATTTTAGATGCTGCTTCCTTCAAGAAAAATATTTTCTTACATGTGCTGCTACTTAGGAATATTAGTTGGTGTATGAATAACACTTGTGGACAAGTGTAATACAGCCAGAAAAGGAATCACGCCAGGAAATATTCAAGATCTAGATCTGGCTGGGCTCACTTTTAAAAGAAAATTAAATATATACTGTATAAAAGCTAAAGTGAAAAATAACCCAAGGGGGAAAAAAGTCATAAATGCCTGTCGATGAATGAGTTTGAAGATCAATAAGCCTATTTTACTTCAATCTCTCTTGCAGGCAATTCATTTTAATATTTTGTATATGTGCTAGAATGGCTAAGGTCAGTTTGTAAAAAACATTGTGCTCTGCCTGTGCATACTTTTATGGCTGAAGCATGGCTTTCACTAATCTCTCTTATTTTCGTTATGTCACATCATATTCTAGATATGTAAGCTATAGCTAGCTCATCATTGGCTAATGTAAGCAGTCTGAGGCTTGGGGTTGAATAAGGCGAAACTTTTCCCCATGATACACAATTTATCACATTGTACATCAGTTTACTTATAGACTCATTCTTACTTGGAAAATCATCCTTGAAAGTAGTGCTTACATGGGCCAGATGTTAGCTATAAAGGTGAGCTGTTTAAATCTGTGTTAGGTTATTGCAGTATAACTGACTTTGACTACCCATTTCATTTCTCACAGGAAATGACAGATAACATGTGTAATGGAGGACCACACCTAATTTATAATGGAAGAGCATACTGAAATATTTACATTCTTTAAAGAACAACTATGTTTAGGATTTTCTTCAAGAGAAAATTCAGAAGCCAACAGCTTGGAGACAACGTCCTAAAACATTATGGCTCTAACTTGCAATAATTTTACAACTTCAAAATAACAACAGCACAGTCACATTTTCTTTCAGAGATTCGCTTTTATTCCCATTAACTGAAGTTATATAATTGCACATTTTGAAGATAAGTATTATCACTTTTTTTGCCTAAGTAATTTTTAATGGCTGTGATAATATATGAAACTGATTTTTCAGATTTTACTCAGATTTTTTTTAGGAATTACTTTTTGATTTTAAAAAAATCCCCTGGTATAAAAAGTATAAGAAGGTCTAAATATTGGATTTCATGCTAAGAGGAAAAGAATTTGGACATGAAAATGTAAGCAGTGTAATGAACGAATTATGAGCGTGCTGCTCTCCGCACTGCTGTCTGTGTTTTGAAAAATGGGAAATTTTAATGATGTTATGAAGTCAAACAATGTTTTGCTGTTAAAAAAAGTACATTTCTCCCATTTATGAGGTCTATTTCCTTATTTGTTCATAAACAATGTGAAATAAAATGAAACATAAGAATCGGGTTAGATTTTTAATCATCCTAACAAATTTTACAATGATCTACAAATTCAAGTGAGACACAAGGGCAAGTTATAATTCTCAACCAAGTTTAAGGCAAGTATTCAGAAAACTTTCAGACCCTCTTTATTTAACTGCAATTCATATGGTATATTGTTGTTGTTTTATTGTATTTGCATCTTAGCAGATGAAAGATAATGCATTAAAAATAAACATAACATTCTATAATGATAATAATAATAATAATAATAATAATAATAATAATAATAATAATAATAATATAAAGTACTATTACTTCTTCCATAGTCAACTGAAATACCCACCAATCATATAGTCATACTGATACAAAGAGATGTATGGAACTTCTTAATGTACAGATGTACACACACACATGCACACGCACACACACACACACACACACACATTCAAATAATTTTTCTTCTTTTAAAATCTAACATGCATACATACATTGCATTAAGAAATATTATAAGAAGCAAATATGTCTTTACTTAAATAATTAGATATATTTGCCTTACAAACACCGATGATGCAAATATGCAGAAGAAGGTTTGAACCTCAACGCAATGGTAAGACTTTCAGATGCAACTAGAGAAACTAGGGTTATAAACAGCAATGATGAACCTATGAAATGCTTGTCAAAGATAATATACCGCAACATTTTGGGTGGCACATCAGCATCCACCAATACCCAACAACTATTCTTGAAAATATACCTTATTCTCATGTGATGTTGATGGCTGTAGAAGTACCTGAGAATGGGCTATGCCCTTAAGTGGCTTCTGAATTCTCTGGAAATCATTTTTGTGTACCTCTGCATCTTTGAAAAATCAAATGAGAACAGGTGTGCTTTTGCAGTTTTCAGAGGCTGCACAATGTTCTAAGTTAGAAAAATCCTCCATATTTCCCATAGGTGATTGTTCCAGAATCCAAACCTACCATCTATACCCCAAATTGCAAAGCTCCAGGATTTCTTCCATTTTTCTGCTGGTTGGGTCAGAAGTCACCCAGTTTTATGGAGTTCTCTCATCTTTCAGGTTAGTTACTGCAGAGGCTTCCTATCCCAGCATCACTGCTGCTATATTGGGGAATAATTGTCCAGTAAACAACAACTGGAATACTTGAAATTGCTCATGGAGAGAAGATGATCTGGCCTACACCCACTTCGTGAATTGAAATGGCATGATGTTACTTTTTGGGATACACAAATCTTACTATGTATATGTTTGTAGAAACAGGATAAGGGCCAAGGAAAATAAACTTAGTATAATTAAATTACTTTTTCATACATTGCTGCCAAGTTCATAGACTATAGATAAGTCGGCAATGGACTTTATAATTAATCTGGGTTTAGCATAGAGACTTTTGGAGATGCTAAATTAGAAGCTGCCAAAAATTAAGTTCATGTGACACCCTGTCATTAGATTTAGATGTGTCAGTGTTTCATAAATATATTGTTGGAATTTTATTGATTATTTTCCACATTTCTAGAAACATATAATATTTTCTCCTTTATTAGAAATACTAAGTCTATTTGGTTAGTATGGTAAGTATAATCTGAACTGTGACAGTAAAGGGAAGCAATAAAACCAACTAATCAAGTTCCTTGTTTTCATTTTCATTTCTATGGTCCCCATTACTGTTTTTCCAACTTGCGTTAACTGAAATATGCCCTTATCGTTTGTTGGCATCTTCTATTGACATTCTCCTACTGTTTTTATCAGACAGCAATGCATGAAGTGAAAACAGGAATGGAACTCACCAATATTCTCCATATTGGTCATGCAATAATCAAAGAAACAGAAAGTAATGTCTTTGCTACAGAAAAAGTTGCATCTTTTTCTATATGTAGCTTTTCATTATGCATGTCTTTCATATGCACATCTTTATACATTTTTGGAATTGACTACGTTGGGCATTTACCTGAATTTTACAATCTGAGCAATAAATTTAAAAATAATTTATTTAAAAACATTGATTGGATAAATTCCTTCTCTCATTAATAGGTTTAAAAAAAACATAAGCATTAAGTTAAACTACAAATGTATTGTTTATATACTTTCAGTGTCACTCCTTAAAGTTATTATAACATTTATGGGTAATTTTAATTAAATTAAATGATGCATGATTCTTAGCTTGCCATTTTTCCCACGTTCTGTCCTGGTAAACTGTAGGGATGGCACAATTTTTTTCACACCTTTAATGTTTTATTTAGATTCTTCTCTACTTTGGTCAAGTTCTAATCAAAATTATAACATTATTTCAGCCCATCTAGTCCTTTGTGTAATATTTTTGCACTCAGTTCAGTTCCTCAGTTCCTTTTCTCCCTGGAATCTAACTTTTCTACCATTGTCTGTTTGTTTTTCTTTTCCAATTTCCATTTTTTGAAATAATTCCTTGGCAGCTTCACATTGATAGTCTTCCAAATCTCCCTCCTGGAATTTGGGTAATCAGAAGGAAGTGGAATATATTAATTAATTTTAAATGCTACGCTTAATTGTCTTAGTGCAAATCTCTGTGCAAATGCTGTAGAGAGTTTTGATGTAGAAATAAAAAATGTGTTTATGCATAAATAGTTAAATGAGCATCTATAAGTACAATTTGTAACAATATACATGCCTGGCACACTTCTAATTAGAGGTTTATCAAGAAGCAAGGATGTTGCATCAACCATTGCCAACTTGTGAGTGAGTCAACATTGATACTAGCTTCTTTGGGTAATCCTCTGAGATATTCTTGGTTTCAGAGCCCTAGACTTTGACCCTGAGGTCCACCATAAATGCACCACTGTTAGAATGACCCATTCAATAGTTGTCACCCTGGGATGCCTATAAATCAGTGGTGAATTTGACCTCATTTGATATATTTGTTCAAGCAAAAGTCATCAAGGATGTTAAAATGGAACAAATAACAACATAGCCATTTCCCTTCTGATCTGCTTAGACACTACTTTCTGGATAATTGGTTTCACTATTAAGCTTTAATAACTGTTTTGAAGAGGAAGATTTGATTATTTTGCATATGAGACAGAAAATCCCACATTTTTATCATTATATCACTATGATAACAAGATCTTTAGTAACAAATCAATGTTTTAATTTAAAATGTTTTATGTAATACTTATCAATTATTTTATTTGTTAAAATGTTTAATGCTAAATTTAGATTTCATTTGTACTTTGCTTATTTGAGTCTTTATAAAATAAAACTAAATGAATAAAATTAATAGATCTTTGTAATAGCCATGAAATTTATTTTGCACGTAAGTCAGAAAATCCCACAAACATCACCCATCCCTGAAGCAAGGAAGATAACATAGTAAATAATTCATTTATAGCTACTCTTTCAAAAAACTTGCTGCTTAAGATGGACATTGCTTTAACCATAGGGCCACACAGGTGAAATTGCCTCATTGTGAGACAACTTATTGAAAAAGATTTCAGCATGAACCAACATGATTCTTATGTTTTAATGATTGCTTAATTTTAAAGATATATAATACTTGACTATTTTGTGAAGCACTCAGAATTGGAACAAGCTGCAGAAAAAGACTTTATATAATTTTAAAAGGGCTAGAAGGTTCACTTTTCATTATGTGGATTAGTCCTAAAATGCTGATTACTATTCTAGTCACAGGTAGTCTACAAAATGCTTAATCAAATACATTTCAATGTGTCAGAATGATCTTAAAAATTCTCATCCTGGTGTATATTAACATTTAGACAAGCTATAGAATATTTATGCCTGATAACTGATGGAAAATACATTACATATTTTCACGAGATAAGATGGTTTAAATTTTAACAATCAGAAAAGAAAGTTCCAGATTACAAGTAGCAAATTGTTTTTTGTGATTTATGCTTAAAATTTTACATTGACATGTCCTGAATACATATTTATCGCATTAAGATGAATTAGCTCAAAACAAGATTTTCACAAAAAAGTCATTAGTTAGTACATACAATATGCACATCAAGAAGCCTGGATTTTGCCTTAAAAGTTATTTCTGAGCTGTCAAACCATCAAGAATTAAAACACAATTGGATGCTGATTAACACATTTTATAATATCTTGGTTGGGCAAGTTTTCAATTTTTAGATGACACACTTTAACTATAGTTTCCGTAATAGTTGGATTACCATATGATAGATGGAACTTTGAACCGAATTTATTTTGGGGACTGAAAAGAAGAAAATTTTAGAGCTTGCTATCGCCTACTTATCCCAGTTAAAAGTTCCATTGTTAAATTGAAATTCTGTTGTTTTCCTTTTGAAAACACAGTGTAAAGAAAAGCTTTGTATCAATTTCAGATTCAGTCTGACCATTTCCTGTTCTGACAAAGGACTTTCTTCCTGTTTATGGAATGAAAAAAGCGCATTAGA